TTAGTGTATATTTATTGTTTGTTCAACTTCTTGGAGCTCTGACCAGGATGAAGGAACCCTAAAATAAAAGAAGTTATAAATATTTTAAGAAAAAAAATTGTTTACAATGGCCCTGAATGGCCTCTTATAGTTCAAGGTCAGACCAGATTATGTCAATAAAGTGACTGATGGGAATGAGAGAAAGGACACCCATGGCTCGTTTGTAAAACCTGCCATGTGAAGGCCAGGGTCAGACCAGCTAGCCAGTAAATACCACCTTTGTCTACAGAACCTTCAGCAAGCAGGAACCCACAGGGGTACAGCGGGCAGCTCTAAGAGCCACCAGCATTGTATAGCAATATTACGACTGCTCCTGAAGGCAGCTGGAGTGGGACTGTGGTCTGGGAAGCACGTGGATCCAAAGAGCTAAGAAACTCCTGGAGAGGGGATTAGTTCTTTCTGTCTTGTCTCTGTGATGTCTAGATACTGGGAATGGCCTGGATTAACTTCCTCTAAGAGCTCTCTCCAGAATGGAGATTGTCACCCAAGGCTTGACCTAAGCCCCAGAGCCTCCTTCAAGAAGATTCTTTGCAAGTTATTTGCTGACCAAATGGGCCAACAAATAAAAACTAGAATTTCTAAAATGCCTCAGGATATACTATTACTGCATACTCTCTCGTTTGCCCCAAAACAAAACCAACCGAAAAATAAAAGCCCCATGAACCTGGTGATATCATTTTATTGTGTTCATTTCACAGCAGCTGTGGCAAATCTGGGAGATTCAGTGAATTACACACACCATGATGACTCTTAAGTGGCAAAGCTAAGACTTACACCCAAAATATAAAATTTATTTATTTTTCTCTACTGTATGTTTGGCTCTTCATGTCACAGATAAGTTATATTAAAGTATGATAAAGAGCCCTTCTTACAACTGTAGTGAGAATTTTGTAATCTTGCTTTCTTTTAAAAACACAGGCATGTTGTGCGAATATGTTTTTATTTTAATCCCAGGTGTGGGGATATGAGGCTGCTTTGTAGCAGGTGCCTATGATTTGCCTCATGCTCTGGCAGGGGTGTGGTTTTGCCAGCTGCAGATAGTTTCTGCAAGTTTGTGACATTTGGAATTCTGGGAACTTTTCAGAGGATATATAAATGCTAAAATCTGATAGGTGTGTAGCTAGTTGGTAGTTGGATGTTGTTGGTTGTGGTTTGCTAAGTAGTCGTGTGCAAAGAAATGAGAAGAAGAAATTAGATATCCTGCAGTAACAAATGCCCAGCTGCATCCTTCCTTTCCTCACAAACACAGAATTAGGAACCAGGAGGTGGTGGCATACACCTTTTATCCCAGCACATAGGAATCAGAGGCAGGAGGATCTTTGTGAGTTGGAGACCATTCTGGTCAACAGAGTGAGATCTATGAAGAGAGACCCTGTCTCAAAAAAGATGTACTCATAGAGACAGCAGCCAAAGTAGATCTCTTTCTTTTTGGCCTCCCTTTGCTTTCTGATCTCTGAAGCCATCGATAGGACTTTTCAGCAGTCTTCGGGGACTTCACACTCATAGGCTTTAAATAAAGCTACGGATCCCAATTATCTCAGCTTCAACTTAAGACTTCAAGTTAATCTTGAACACTAAAATCACCTACTACACAGTAACTGGAAGGTAGCTACACAGTCATCACATCTTCAATTCCTAACCACACTGTGGCTATTAGGTGATGGAAGAATTGCCTTTAAAAAGTAGAAAAGGGAGAAAATAGAGGAGTGGGTAGGAGTTTATGTGGATGACTAGGGGTAGAGGACAGAAGGGGCCTACATGTCTTGGGCCAGCTCCGTGAGGCCATTGAGATAACCCCATGTGCTGTGCTGAGAATCTCACAGGTGGAACTGGGGGCCAGGAAGAAAAGTCTGGAGTTCCCCAGTTGCTATCTGCTGTTAACTCTAGAGCAGACTGGGAGAGTTGTTGGTTGAGTTGTAGCCACCTAGCAAAATGTTTGTGTAAAGGAAAAGAAAGGAAGAAAGGAAGAAGGAAGGAAGGAGCTCAGAGTCAAAGGTGTTTCAAATATCAAGAGTCAGACTGGAGACTTGAAGTGAGACATTAGCAGTGGGAGAACATTACCAAGAAGCAAGGTGAGGTTAAGTTCTCAAGCTTCCTAATGCTGAGACCCTTCAATGCAGTTCCTCATGTTGACCCCATGATCAGATGATCAGAAAATAAAATTATTTTCATCGCTACTTCATAACTGGAATTTTGCTGTGGATGTGAATCATGATATAAATATCTGTGTTTTCTGATGGTCTTAGGCAACCCCTGTGAAAGGGTCACTTGACACCCCCAACAGGTGGTGACCCACAGGCTGAGAACCACTGAGTTAAACAATAAAGAAAATTCTCCAAGGGCCACAGTGAGAGTGAATGGTTCCTACCCACATAGCAAGGCAGGTGGGGAAGACACCTGTGAGACTCTTCCGGTGATTCTCAACTATCTCTATTTTTACCAAAATTCGGAAGCTGATGTTCCCTGGCCAGGACAAAGTTCAACAATGCCCAGCATCAACACAGGAGAACCAGAGGGTTGGGCCAGGACAGTTCTCCAGGGGCCGCCCTATCCCTGAATCCTCAAGCCAGATCCTTGACTCTCCCCTGAATGGCTTCCAGTGACCTCTAGCCTGAAGCCAGGATGAGGCACATTGCCAGGTAGGCCAAACAGCACTGCTTTGTGTGAAGATGAATGTATGAAGGAAGGCCCCCGAACAGGCCTTAAACACTGAGTGTGGGGTGTGTATGCATGCTCACTGGCACTCTCCTGCCCTGCCTGCCTCTCAACGCAGGGGGTGCCATTGGTAAACCCCTCTGTAGAGAGCAGTCTCCTTGTACACCAGCCAATCAACAAAACACAGCCCCATTCTGCTCAGGAATGTGTCCTCAGAAATTTAATCTAACTGCTGAGTCTGGGCCAGACTTTCCAGTGGCATTAACCCAAAGACAGCACCCCGTTTTCTGGCCCCTCCAGCCTTCCTGCCAGCCCAGTGCTCTCTCCTTCAATGGGGGGAGGCAGCAGCTCATTTCCCCTAACTCCCTCCTCAGCGGGATACTCACCCCCACCTGCTCACCCCATTTCCTCAACTTTTCTTTCTTTTTAGTCAGGTCCAAACATTTCGCTTTGGATTCACGTCTGAATGACAAGCCAATAGTTCTTGGCTTTCAAGTGAGACCAGCTCCACTTTAGCACATGCCCTTCTCTGCCAACCACACAACCCTTCAAGCACCAGAAAAAACAGGAGCCAGAATTTTTTTTTTTAAATAAAGACTGTAAATTGAATCTTCTCACACAGATACACTTTGAATCAAACAGAGAGGTCCAAACTAAACCACCTCTCCTCCAACTCCCCTTCTCCAAACAGTAAAAGGTTCAGGCTGTCTCCTCATTAGGCTGGATAGAGAATTATAGAGTGTCTTGAGCATCTGCAGACACATGAGAATCATTTGCAGATAGACTCTTTCTCCTAGATGCCCCTTTAAGGCACAAATATTGAAAGGTACATCTTATTTGTAATAATGAACAAGTAGGAAAGAATGAATTGCCCAGCAATAGGAAATACTTCAGTCCATTATGGAGGAATTCCACTACAGAAAAGGAGAGTCAGCAATCTAGCTAAGGGCACAGTGGGATGTTAGAGTGATAGCTACATGATCTTGTATGTTATACCCATAAGCAGAAGCTCACTGCTTGGCCACTTAGGAGCCACACCTTTTGCACTTTACTGTGCATTTCACACTATTGAAGGAGAAAGGTGAAGTATCATATGGCCAAAGGAAAATGCTTGTCATAGAGTGCCAAAGAGGAAAGATAAGAATACAAATTATATTATTCAGTCATATTATAACAACATAAACATATGGGTATGGCTAAAAACTGGAAGAGTAGATGCCAAAATGACCATCATGGTTGTGTGAAGGTTACATTGCTTTTTACATATTCCAAACTTTCTATAGTGCAATTATAATTAAAAAAATTGGTAACAGGAGGCAGGAAATGTCTGATGCCAAGAAGTGTGGTTCTGATCTCGGCCACTCTTGGTGTGATGTGATGGTCCCTACCTATCTCTACTCTCTTCCTCTAGGCTTTCCAATATCCCCTACTCTCCCCCTAAGCATAGCCAGAGGGAAGCGCCTAGCTGCACTCTGCCCAGGGCTCAGCCTGCTCCCAGAGACCCCAACACTCAGACTCAGTGGCCCCCTTTCTTCCATGAAGAGTGGCTCCGTGCAGGGTGGGAAAACATGCATTTCAAGGTCAAGCTAGCCATTCAGGGAGACACTCTTTGCCTGGCCCGTGCAGGAAGGGTTAGAACTTCTTGGTATCTCCTAGGAGATCAGGAGCACCACCAGCAGCCCTATTCCACTCTCCCGCAGTGATGTTCTCCTGGGGATGTGGGGCCAGAGGCAGGGACAAGCCTTTCTCCCTTGTACTTCTGCTTCCCTTATTCCTTGAAACTCTCTTTCCAGGGCTTACATCTCACACATCCCAGTGACCTCAGCTGACTTCAACTGACCCATATTGTAGACATATTCTTCTTCACACTGTGGTGTGGGACAGCTCACTTTCTAGATCCGCATCACCCATAAAGCCAATGGTGATGTGGTGACAAGCTCGTCTGGGGTAAGGGGACCCTGACTGAAAGCACTCTGAGGATGGGAGAAGAGGGAAAGGGGTGAGGGAGCAGCGGTCATATTTTCCTGAAACAACTGACCAAGTGGAGGCACGGCACCAATTCTGGGCCCCCAGAACAGTTCACTCCCTGTAGATGCTCCACGTATCATCCTGCTCAGAAGAGAACTTCTCCGGGACACCACGGCCCCCAAGGCTGCTGAGCAGCCACCACAGCACCATGAAAAGCTTTAGAAGTTGGGACCCCTTTAATGCTCTGACTCACAGCAAAGGGTAGGAATAGGAGAGAAGAGAGAGTGGGAGAAGAAGGTGAGACCACACCACACAAAGCCTCGAAGAAGCAGACTCACTGGCTAGCGTCACCGTGGCTGGCACACTGGCCACAGCTCCTGCAGGCATCCGAGCCACACACTGGTACCGTCCCACAGTGTGGTTGTTGAGGGCAGCGATGACAAGGGTCCCACGGGTGATGAGGACACCCAGCGCATCATCCGAGCCATTGAGCTCCTTCCCGTTGAAGCGCCAAGTTACGTTCACCCGTGGTGGCTCCACCACACAGCCCAGGATCACGGTTCCTCCAGGCTTCTGGACAGTGGACATGGGCTGGACCGTGACCTGAGGAACTGCGTCTAGAAGAAGAACATCAATGCAGGATGGAGCTGAGGCCCCCAGGAAACTGACACCACAGCCGCCGCCTTTTGAGAAGCTCAGCACCCGGGCAAGTTGCTCTTCCCCTGAATAACCCAGCTGCCCTTGCCCATTCCCTGCCCTGCCTGTTTCCAGAAAGTCCCCTTGCTACCCGGTAATACAGTACAAAGGCAAGAGCTCAGGCTCTGGAGTCGGACAGACGTGGGCTGAATCCAATGCCCCTGGCTCTGAGCTGTGCAATGCTGGCCTTTCTGTAAACGGAGGCTAGTAATGCCTGACTCAAAGCACTGCCTTAAGGCTCACAGAGCATACAAATGGCTGCCCTGTGTTCGTCCAGTAAACGCTCACCGCAGGCAGCTTTTATTAATACCCCTCACCTACTAGTGTACCTTGAAATTACCAAGATACAAAACTCTAAGCAATATGGTATTGAGTGTGCTACAGTTTGGAGGTCGGTAGAGAGGTAGTGCTCTAAGCCGCCCCCTGCTTCCCTCTGACATTAGGACTAAGTGCTCTCCCGGGAGGGGCGGCCTGAGAACCGGCCTGAGAACTGAAGGAAAACACTCACTCGGATCAGCAAGGCAGCCTGCCGTGGCTAAGAGAAGCCAAACCAGCGCAACCACAGGCCGCGCTCCTCGGCACATGGTCATCGCCCCACGAAGCGTAGCGTGTCACAGAGGGTTCCAAGCCAAAGTCCCATAAGCCGCGTGGGACACCGGTAGAGACACTGCTGTCCCCTGCAGTCCTGTTGCGAGAGAAATTGAGAGAATGTGAGACTGCCTGGAGTTTGACCCATCCCTCAACCTCGCTCCATCGCATTTACAGGCAGCATTCAAAGTGGCCGTGTTACCGGGGGACCAAAGAGGCCCTTCCTGACATTTCTTATCTTAAGGATACATCATATTAGGATTCTTCCTTCATCAGAAGAGAATGTGATCGTGGAAAGAGCCTTGTCTGGGGACTGATGGCGAAGGCAGGGGAGCCCAAGGCATGGAGGGGCTGAGAACTATGGAAAGGCCACATAGGGGCGGGGAGTATCTATGTTGGTGAGTGCAAACACGAGAACATCCTTCTCACTCTGTATCAGAAATTACATATCTGTGGCTGCATGGCGCTACGTCTGCGGAAGACTGTTGGACAACACTGTCAGGAGTTAACTGAGTTCCTCTGCTTTACAGGTGAGGAAATGGAGTACCAGAAACATAACGGCGCATGGCTGTGGCACTGTGCTCCTGGGATAAGAGCCTCGGGGGCTGCCTCAGGAGCCTTGTGCTTTCTGCTCCACCTTTCCTATCAAGGGCCCTGTACCCATTAATTTTTTTTTTTTTAACAGATTTGGAATAAGACTATGACCAGACAGTGGCTCCTAGAGGAAACACCTTGTCAAAAAGTATAACTCTCTGTGTCCTTTCAATTTTCCAGATCATTGTTTTTTGTTGTTTTGTTTTTTAATTCTTAATCAACTTTTCCCCAATGAGATGATGATGTATTAAAATAGAACCCCGCAAAGGTTCCTAGTTACAGGATTTCTTTTTTTTAAAGGAACCAACTCATTCACGACATGCCCCAGTTTCTCAGTGCCCTTAAGGAGACTGGCACCAACTTTCTTCCCAGCCTAGGAACGACAGCAGGGAGGGAGCAGAGAGAGAGAGAGAGAGAGAAAGGGGGAATATGAATGTGAAGCAATAAATAGCAAAGTGGGGGCAGGCAGACAGAGCAGGCCAAGGTCTGTTTCTCATCTAGGCACAGGGCCCACAGAGGTGTTGGGGTTGTAAAATGGACAAAGGGTTTACTGAGGAAACTCAGCCCAAGACCCCTACTGCTTTAAGAGGACAGGCCAAACACTTCCCATTACTTCTGCACCCTGGGTAATTTCTACAGCTCAAAATGAAAACAGCCCTCACTGCTACTGCCAACCACCACTGTACTTTTTTTTTTTTTTTTTTTAAGGCAACACAGAGAAAAGGATGATGTGGTAGAGAAGTGGGAGGGGAGAGAGGAAACAAGAATGAGCTGACCCCAAGGAAGGATTCTGGGGTCTCATTTTGTAAAAGTAGATTGTGACCAGGAAAAAAAAAAAGTCCCAAACAACCACAACAGAAAAGGCTGTGTGTCACTGAAGGTTTTTTTTCCTGGCTGCCTAGGGAAACTGAGTTCCCAGATAATTTTCTGAGCCAGGGTCTCACGCTGTAGCCAAATTTGACCTGGAGCTTACTATGTAGTTCAGGCTGATCTACCCTGACCGCTCAGCGCTTTACAGGGTTTTATCGGTATGAGCTACCATATCTGGCTTAGATGCATTTACTTTGGCTTTTTATTTTATTTTTAATTTATAGTGCTAGGAACATGACAGTCTGACACAGGATGAGCATGCTCTGTTTGGTTTGGAAAATACTGATGACTGGGCCCAGAACCTCACATACTCTAAAGGTGTGACGTTTAGAGAACCTTACTTAAAACACGTATGCACACATATCTTATGTTCTATATCCATCCATCCGTCTGTCTGTCTAGCTAACTATATCTATCTACCTACCTATCTACCAATCATCCATCTATCAATCTATCTATCTATCTACCTACCTATCTTATATATAATACACATATAAATATACACATGTGCCCTTAGGCCCTCAGTGAGTCAGAAAATCGAGGAGGGGATCTATTAGGCAGCATTAATGACAATCTACTGTCTACTTTGATTCTAAAGCAGAGACATCTCCTAAGAGTCTTTAAAAAAGTATGTTCAGGCCCCAAATATGAATGTATTCAAATCTGAGGGAAAAGACGGGACATTAAGCATGTGGATTTGAATGCCATTCCCCCATATGGACTTCTATACATATACATGCATATATGCATATATATATATATGTCAGAATATGTATGAAAAAAAAATATATATTAGAATCTAGTGTGGAGTTATTTATGATTCTTCAGTGTTAAAAGACCTGCAGCTTATCATTTTGTAAGGTCTATATTTATATACACTTATGTATGCATATGTATAATTTACACATATGTATGTATGTATGTATATTCATATGCAAAGCTTGAGATGGAGCACCTAAGTGCAGTGTGACTTGGCCTTCTTGTGAAATGAGTGAGGCGCTTTCAAAGTTGGAGGAAGACACCAGGAAGGCGATATAAAAATACGTCTGGATGTATCTTGTTTTCTTATTCTTTTTCTCAGAACAAGAAAAAATGTTTTAAGATATCTAAAGCAGACAGACGTGAAACTGAATTCTTGCTGTGAATTCTAGTCCGTGAGGACTAGTGACCCCCCATTTTTAAGGGTATTTTGCACAAAATATGTTTGTCTGAGAAGCTTCACTCCAGACATACGTGTTCCCCACTGCCTCCCAGCAGCCATTTCTGAAGCCATCCAGAATCAAGAGCAAAACACTCATGTCTGGGGTTGAGACCACGCATGAAGAATTGTGACCTTCAAATATCTATTTATCTTTAACGTTTTTTGAGAAAAATGACAAACAATTGAGAGTTTATCATCAGAGTCTGTCTATCACCAGGAGACAGCTTGCTCCACTCCTCCCTACAAGGCTGGATGAGCACACGGAAGAGAGTGAGCGTCCTCCACAGGGGCTGACTCTTCATCCTGCCTCACCTGCTCAGAAGCGTGTCCTCTGCAGGGCCTGCACCAATGACAGGACAGGGTAATCAAGGCGACCACATAAGACTCCTCAGATTGACTGACAGGAATGAGATCTGAAGGGGCCTTTCGTTCCCCTGACTGAGAAAGGCTAGACAATTAATGATAGCCGCCAAGGCGCGTGTTCTGATGAGCTTCCAGTTTCATAGGGCAAGATCCCCTTTCCCAGCACTCTGTGATGACACAGCTAAGCTGTTTGTGCCCTGGCTGGAGAAAAGTAGGTGGGTGTAAATGTCGGTAGCCTCAGGTCTCAAGAGAGGAGGACTCCTATGCAAAAGATCACACTGAAGGAGGCATTAGGAAATCACAAGGGGGTTGAATACGGGGATTTAGAGAGATTTAGGAGTAGGATTTTTTTAAAGACTACCAAAACACTATGTGTACACCCTTAAAAATACATAGTAAGAAAAAAAGTTTATTTTTACTTAAAATGTTGTGCTTTACCCACAGACCTAATTAAAAGGAAACATTTTTAAATTGGAAGGAACTCAAGAAAAATGCAATATGGTTTAGAATAACATCTGCTGTGTTTCCAGGCAACTGAGTCTCCCAGTTAATTGAGCCAGGAGACTGGGGCTACAAATCGGGCCTCAGAATCCCAGTCCAGCGCTAGTTTCAGTATCCAGCAGCACCCCCGAGGGGTTTCTGAATCTAGTTCCTTATAATGTTGCCTATATCACCATCTGTTGCAGTGATGTCTGTGTATGTTTTGCCTATATATTTGACGTATGCATTTCTTAGAGTCTGTGTCACATGTGCAGGTAGAGGCTGGAGGTAACAGGTGTCTTTACTTGATCACTCTCCATCCTTTCTGGGCCTCTCAATGAACAAGAAGCTCTTTGTATCCACTACACTGAGGGCCAAAGAGCTTCAGGGATCTATTTCCTCAGCGCTAGGCTTACAAGAGCACACCACCAACCCCAGCACAGCTTTTGTAAACGGGTTCTGGAGATCTGAACTCATGTCTTCATGCTTGTGTGGCAGGAGCATTACAGGCTGAGCCATCTCTCTAGACCCATAGTCTAGAGAGATGTAGTAACTCTCTATATGGCAATTTTCATCGTTCTTATCGTAAACATACTGACCTACAGAATTCTCCTAAAGTTCGCTGCACAAACCCTCTGTGATAAACTCTGCAAAGCGATGCAAATGCTCGCTTTATAGATATACCATCTAGCAGCAGGGAGCAACTGGACGCCTATCAAGCTGTGCGATGTGGCTCCTATTATAACAGTAAAACCAGATTTTAGGTTTGCTTTAAGTGACCATCAAGGGCTGGTGTCTACCACTTTTGCCAGCAGAGTTCTAGATTAATATGTGAAAGGTCTACCTAGACCTCTCTGATCCTTCTTTCCATCCTTCATTCTTTCTCTCCCTTCACTTCCCTTTCCTGTGTGTGTGGTTGCATGAGCATGTGTGTTCACATGGCCGTAGAAGCCAGAGAAGCCAGGTGCCATCTACATCTCATTTTGAGGCACAGTGTCTCGCCGGCCTGAAAATCCCCTTACAGGCTAGCCTGGCTGACCAGCATCCTGAGATCCACCTGTCACCTATGCTCAGGGTTGAGACTGCAAGTGTGCACCCTTACTATCAACTCATTTTTTAACTGCAAATGTGTTCTTATTAATTACACTTTATTCACTTTGTATCCCCCCTGTAGCTCCCTCCCTCCTCCCCTCCCATTGCCACTCTTCCTCCCTCTTCTCTACCCATGTCCCTCCCCAAGTCCACTGATGGGGAAGGTCCTCCTCCCCTTCCTTCTGATCCTAGTCTATCAGGTCTCATCAGGACTGGCTGCATTGTCTTCCTCTGTCACCTGGTAAGGCTCCTCCCACCTTGAATGGTCCATGAATGGTCCTTGGTTGGAGTATCAGTCTCAGAAAAGACCCCATGTGCCCAGATTTTTTGGTTCTGTCGCTCTCCTTGTAGAGCTCCTGTCCTCTCCAGATTTTACTATTTCTCCCTTCTTTCATAAGATTCCCTGCACTCTGCCCAACATTTGGCTATAAGTCTCAGCATCTGCTCTAATCCCCTGCAGGGTAGAGCAAAAGATGCTCAAGTACACAATGAGGACA